TTCTTACATAACTGCAAGATAAAATTTTAGTAAGTTTTCTGTCACTATACAACAACGATTCCCTTTCTTCTGGTTCCCAATAACATGTTTCTCATTTCCTTTGGAGATCTCACCAACAACACTTTCAGCATTCATATTTCTACCAACACTTTGCCTGTGGTGATTCAGGTATTCTGTAAGACTATACAGACTTACTCTACCTTGCTCCTCACTTCCTTCTGAGCCCTCCACCAGCAAAGCCTTTAGCATCTATATTTCTACTAACAATCTATTCAGGAAAATCTAGGCTTTTTCTATCATGATCCTCAAATGTTTCTAGCCTCTACCGATTGTCCAATTCCAAAAACCAATTCTAGATTTCTTACAGGAGCACCACATTTGCAGGCACCAAAATCTATATGAGTTTTCTATTGTTGCTATGACAGATTAAACAGTGGATTAAACTAACACCAATTTATTGTCTTATACTTCTAAAGATCAAACATTGAACGTGAGTCTTACTAGGCCCAATTCAAAGTGCCAACAGAGCAGCATTCCTTTTGGAGTTTTGGACACTTGAAGAGGTTTTGGATACTCAAAGGAAGAATCCATTCCAAGCCATTTTCTGCTTCTTGAAGCTGCCCACATGTTCTGGTCCATGATTGCATGACTCTAACCTCTGCTTCCATTGTCACATCTTCTTCTCCAGCTCTGATCTTCCTGCCTGTCTCTTATAATAACCTTAGTGATTACATTGGGTCCACCCAGATAATTCAAGATAATCTCCCCATCTCAAGGCCCTTATCTTAATCACATCCAAAGTACCATCTGCCATCTGATGCAACATATTCACAGGCTGCAGGGATAAGGACTTGGAAATCTTTAGGGACCATTATTCTGTCTACCACAAGTTGTAAGGGTTCTACACAAATTCTAGATTCTAGAGTCTGATCAGGTGTATGACTGACAAATGTTTTCTCCCATTCAGTGGGTTGTCTTTTCACTTATGATAGTATTCTTCAATGCACCAAAAGTTTAATTTTGGTGATGAAGCCCAAGTTTTCATTTTTCTTTTGTTGACTTTGTTTTTGGGGTCATAATTATGAGTTTTATAGTACTGGCTCCTACATTTAGGTTTTTATATTCATTTTGAGTTAATGTTTTATATGGTGAGAGGCAGAAGCCCAATGATACTTTAATATCTCAGCATCATTTCTAGGAAAGACTATTTTTTTCCCATCAAATTATTTGTGCAGTCTTGACAAAAATCAACTGACTATAAATAAGAGAGTTTATTTTTGGACTCTCATGTGATTTCATTGATCCCCATGACTATATTTATGCCAGTACATCACAGTAGTGATTACTGTAGCTCTACAGCAAGTTTTGAAATCAGAAATATGATCCTCTAACTTGTTCTTTGACAAAATATTTGATATTCTGTATTCCTTGTGTTGCCACATAAATTTGAGGATCCGGGTGTCAATTTCTAAAGAAAAAAAAAGCCAGCTGGAATCTTGAATGGTATTGCATTGGATCTATAGAAGAATTTGGAAAGTATTCCATCTTAACTAAATATTTCAATCCATGAACATGGAATGTTTTTTCATTTCTTTAGAAACTTCTTAATTTCTGTCAATAATTTCTTTAATCAGTGTATAAGCCATTTACTTCTTATGATGTTTTTCTCTATGTATTTGTTTTTAATGATTCTTTCAGTGACATTATTTTATTTTTATATTATTCATTCCTAGTATATAGAGATACAATTAATTTTTGCATATTTGTTTAGCATCCCGCAATCTTGCTGAACTCATTTATTATATCTAATGGGATTTTCTTGATTAGCATTGTTTCCTTAGAATTTTCTACGTGCAAGATCATATCATTTGCAAATAGAGATAGTTTTGCTTCTTTTTTTCTATCTGGATACATTTTATTTCTTCTTCTTTCCTAAATACCTGAGCTAGAATCTACTTCAATATTGAAGTAGCAAAAGTGGACATCCTCATTGGGTTTCCATTCTTGTAAGAAAAGCCTTTCGCCTCATAATATTGAGCATGAAACTATGTTTTCTTCATAGATGTTATTTATTATGATGATGAAGTTTCATTCTGTTTCTAGTCTGTTTAATGTTATATCATAAAATGGTACTGGATTTTGTCAAATGCTTTTTCTCCATTAATTGAGATTGTCCTTTTCATTAATTTAACTCATTTAATTAATTTTAATTAATTGGCTCTTGTCCTTTATTCTCTTAACATAGTGTAGTACGCTGATTGATTTTTGCATTTTAAACCAAACATGAACTCCAGGGAAAATTTAGCCAGGCAAAGTATATAACTCTTTTACTTTATATAGTGTGCAATTATTTTGTTGAGGATTTTTGCATCTATATACATAAAGGATACTGGTCTGTGCTATTCTTCTCCTGGAAATTTTTTGTCTTTTTTAGTAACATCATAATAATCACTTTATAGAATGGGTTGAAAAGTCTTCTTTCTGCTTCTATTTTCTGGAAGAGTTTGTGAGGGATAGCATTTCATTCATTGCATTCTTCAAGTGTTTTGTAGAATTCACCAGGGAAGATATCTGGTCCTGGAATTTTCTTTGTGAAATGTGCTGTGATTACTAATTCAACTATTTGTTACATGTCTATTCACATTTCCTATATTTTTTTGAGTCTGTTTTGATAGTTTGTGTATTTCTAGGAATTATCTATTTTATCTAACTTGTCTAATCTGTTGACATAAATTTTTCCTTTTTTTCTTTTCTTTCTTTCTTCTCTTTTCTTTCTTTTTTTTTTTTTTTTTTTTTTTTTTTTTTTTTTGTGAGACAGGGTTTCATTCTGTCACTCCGTCACCCAGTCTGGAGTGCAGTGGTGTAATCACTGTTGCCTCAACTCAAATCCCTGGGTTCAAGCAATCCTCCCACTGCAGCCTCTCAAGTAGCTAGGACTACAGGTATGTGTCACCATGCCCAGCTAATTTTTAATTTTTTGTAGAGACAGGGTCTCGCTATGTTGACCAGGCTGGTTTTTGAACTCCCAACTTTAAGAAATCCTCCTGCCTCAGCTTCCCAAAGTATTGGGATTACTGGTATGATAACTTTTCATATTATTCCTTTGTAATTCTTTTTTGTTTCTATAAAGTCTATAGTTATATCCACTTTTTAAGTTTTACGTTAGTAATTTGAAATTTTTTGGCCAATCTAGCTAAAAGTTTGTCAAATTTTTGGTCTTCTTCAAATAACTAATTTTTATGTGCTTTTTCCCCCCTTTGTTCTATTTGTTATTTAGGAGTGTTTTTTTTTTAATTTTCACACATATATAAACTTCCACAATTTCCTTGCGTTATTGATTTATAATACTATTCTAGAGTGTCTGAACAATATATTTTTGTATGAAGTCAGTCCTTGTAAGTTTATGAGATTTATTTTATGTCCTAACATATGGTCTATCTTGTAGAATTTCCAATGCTCACTTAAGAAGAATTTATTCAGCTGTTGTTGGGTGGAGTGCTCTGTAGATACCTGTTATGTCTAGTTGCTTTATAGCATTTTTCAAATCTTCCATTTCTCTGTTTATCTTCTCTCTAAATGTTCTATCCATTACTGAAAGTATAATATTGAAATACCTATTATTGCTGAAATGTCTGTTTTTCCTTTTAATTCTGTAAGTTTTTGCTTCACACATTTTGGAACTCTTCTCTTACATGCCTATATGTTAATAATTATTATATGTTCTTGATGCCTTAACCCTGATTTCTCCATCTCAATTCACTGGAAATGCTAGAGGGTTCTCAACCTATTTTCTTAAATTTCTTATTTTATCTACATGCTGTCTTTAGGTAAACATATTCAGTTTCATGACTTTAAACAACATCTATATACTAATGACTCTGAAATTTATATCCCCAGTCCCAATCTCCCCAAATAATTCAGAGTCATATATTAAGCCTCTGTCTCATAGATATCTCATATATAACAGGCTCAAAACTGAACTTATGACTCACTCACCACCCAACTTGTTCCTCCCTCTGTTCTTTCCCATTTCAGAAAACGTCACCATCACCCAAGGGTATTCTCAAGCTTTAATTGTATTGATCCCTCTCTTCCTCTGCCACCATAGCCAATTCATCTATAAATTTTAATTCAAAACCATACCCTGAATCTACTCCTCACCACCTCTACTGCCACCACTGCCTCTAAGCCAACGTCATCTACCATCTCCACTACTGCAATAACCTCCTACCTGCTCTCACTGCTCCTACACTTGCCCTCTCCCAATCCCATAGTCACATAAAAATTATTTTGATCATAAGTCAAATCACATTGTTCCCTCGCTTATAATTTTCCAGCTGCTCCCTATTGCTTTGCACTTGGAATAAAACCTAACCTCTTCACAAAGCTGACAGGTCTTCTCATGAGTTAAACCTCATATTCTTCTCTGAGTTGGTCTCCTACCACTACTCACCTTCTTCTTTTCCTCAGATACGCTCATTTTCTTCTCATTTTAGGTCCTTCACTCTTGCTGTTCCCCTATCTTTGCTTGTTTGGCTCTTTTCATCATTATTGTTTCATAATAGTCTCCGCTTTAATATTGTCCCCCAGGAAATGTCTTTCCTGACCACCTAGTCTAAATTAGCTTCTCCCATTCACACACCAGATACTAACTTCCACAGCTCCATGTTCTATTTTCTTCACAGCACATCACATTTTTATTGTGTTCATGGCAGTTCATCACTATCTGAAATAGCATGTCCACTTACTGGTTTTTTTGTTTTGTTTTGTTTTGTCTCTTTCCTCTCCACACCCTAATTATTGTAAGCTTCATGAGAGTATAGATTTTCCATTTGTTCAACTTGCATTTCCAAAGCCAAACCTACATAGTAGGTGCTCAGTAGGTATTTGTGGTAAACACGGATTAATAAATCTATGTTGTAGTAATGAATGGATTGTTTACTTGAGAGCCAATATCAGGACAAACATATTCCAACCATATTGTCTGTTTCTTTGCTCAGAAATCCAGAAAGTGTGGGTTGTATGCCCACACCAACAGCAAGCACTGGAGTCATCCCAGAGGAGCCACAGGGACTGAGAGCGAAAGAGGAGTGGACTGACAAAACAGATTGAAGATTGGATTTTCTGCCAGAAAAGGGGCAGGAGGCAGCAACAGACATGCACTGTAAACACAAAACAAGACTATAGTTACACTCACTGTGATTAAAGTTATGAAGATTAAGCATGGATATGAAAAGAGCAACCAAAAATTATAAAAGTAAAATCATGAGGTTTAGGTATAGTGGAATAAGGAACAATGAATGTTCTCTCTAAAACATTATTTAATGCAATTTTAGTAATGACTTTACAAGTCATGAGAGAACTAAACTCTAAGGGAAAGATGTTAAAGGAAGCAGATGAAAATGATAGGTGTTAATATGCCAGAAACTCACAGGGATGTTGTAAGCATCTCTAACACATTTTCAACTTCTCTGAAGATGCTTCAGGTATTAAAAGACCCAGGATTATAATCATTTATTACATTAAGTATACACTTCTTGTAAGCCCACAAGCTCTAAGAAGATAAAGGCGAGGTCTAAAGGAATTTAAGATAAGAATCACTAGACCGTTGCCTAATGCAATTGAGCGAAGTTCCTTGTCTCCCAGGCTTGGTCATGCTTATCATTCAATAAGCACACACTTGAGGATCTATGACATTAGACACAAATGAAAGACATACTCTCTATATTCAAATGACTCACAGGTAAATAAACAATGAAAATAACCTGAGGAGTACAATCATAAAAGTAAAAATCTGGGAGCCGCAGGAGCATAATGCAAAAGCTCCATGCTTCTTAAGGTATTGATAATATTCAGGAAAGGAAATGCCTGCACTAATCTTGAAGGAAGAGTAGGAATTCTCGAGACAATAAGCCCTCTCAGGGTTTAGAGAAAAGGGATATCTAAATGTGTGGAGGAAGACAGCTTCCCAAAAGAGACAGAAATTTAATTTGACTTGAAGAATGAGTAGGATGTGCAGAGGCAGACAGATTAGTTTGCTAGGGCTGCCATGGAAATTATCACAAATGCATAGCTTAAAACAAAAATGTATTCCTTCACAGTTTGAGAAGCTAAGTCCAAAATCAAGCTGTCAGCAGAGCCTGCTACCTGCCAAGCCTCTAGTGAGATGCCTTCCTTACCTCTTCTACCTTCTTGTGGGTGGTTGCCAGGAATCCTTGGCACTCCTTGGCTCAAGGTAGCATCACTCCAATTTCGGCTTCCATCTTCATATAATACTCTACTTTCTGTGTGTCTGCATGTCTCTGTTTCTGAATTTTTCTTATAAAGACAGTAGTCATTGGATTTAGAGCCCACCTTCAACCAGTATGATGTCATCTAAACTAATGACATCTGCAAAGACTCTATTTCCCAACACTCTGAGGCTTTAGATGAATATGAATGTTTGGGAGCAGGGGAGCACTATTCAACCTAATACATCAGATGATATGAAAGTATAATTCTCAATTCATGGACCGCCCAGAGCTACTTCTGTGAGATTTGACACTCATAGGTGTATATTCAAAATATGTAACAAATGATACAGTAAATACCCCTAATACACACACACACACACACACACACACACATCCTAAATAAGCTAAACTGTAAAACTAGTTATTAAGTTTTACAAGTTGTAGCATAAATCATTTATTGTCCTAAAAATATCCAAAATGTTGGTTCTATTGGTGCGATCTTTTGTAGCATGACTGATACTTGTTGTCTGAGCCATATTTTGACATGGGGGAAATCACATCCAACTATTTTAGTGCCTTTCCCATTGAATCAAGAGCTATTAGGTCACATTTTATCTTAAGCAGTAAAGATTTCCTCTTAAAACTGTCAATATTCATTCTCCTACTGAACCCTCTCAGTTTCTACGTAAAGAATAATAATTAGGCAACAGCAATAGCCCAATTTATCAAAAAGGCTAAAATTTAAAATTAAAGTGTCTTAGATATACATATTTGATAATTTTACTGTTGCTTAAGTTGTAACAATCATTTACTGGAATGTAATAGATATTAGATCAAACCTTATCTTATTTACTAAGAGGCAGTGAGGTTGTTGGCAATTAAGAGTATAGAGCCTATGGTCAGCAGCCTGCGGTCAAACCCTGGCTCTATAATTAAATCTTAAAAACTTTTCTCCACCTCAGGTTTCTCACCTGTAAAAGAAGATAATGATGATATTTGTCATATTCAGCCTAGTTAACTATGCATCTCAGAAAGTGCCTGAAATAGAGCAAGTGATACTTCAGTGTTAATGCTCATTTTATTAATAAACCTAATGCATTTAATATCTGTTATAAGTCAGCTTTTTGTGGTTTTTAATGAATTCTTCCCATTAGTTGGAGATGAACTTCAACAGGATTGTTTAAAAGAGAGACCTAAAGCCTTGGCATCCCTCACCCCAAACCATCCCCCGGCGCAGCTCTTCTTCATGTCCTGTCCCAGAAGTGCTTCCGTGGCATGCTGGTGGAGCTCACGATGCCTAACTGGCACCTGAACAGGCCTCCCTGACTGCCCACTCACTTAGTTGTCCATTCTTGGATCGCTCAGAGCCAACATCTTTGGCTTGGTAATAAAGCCTTTGTACTAAAAATAGCTGTATGAGGGGAACTTTAGGGAAACAGTAGCAACGGGGAGCAGTCACAGATGCAAGTGGTCATGTGGCATTTCCCACTGGGGGACCACTGAAATTACCAAGGGGACCTTCTCTGTCACCAGGGTTGAGGATCCTCTGGTCTGGGGCTCCACTGGATTGGGTGGCAGATGCCAGAATTATTCCCAGGTGCTGTCCACCATGGCTTGATTAATCTGGACAATAATATGCGCAGGGTTCAAAGCAGCCCATCAGGATCTTGGGTAAGCCAATACTGTTGCCCAGGAAGTGGGGCTTCTAGAAGCTAATGACATTGTGAATGATCAACCAGAATAGATGCTAGTTGTGGTGCTGGAACACCATCCTGGCAGCCGCTACTGTACTTGAAAGCAACTTGCTAGTCACCCTATCATGGTTATGACCAGGATGTCCAACGGATGAGCTAGGTGGGTCTGGGTCTGGGTTCTCAGATACCTTAATATATCAAAGCCCATGTTGAATATCCAAGAGGGGGCCTGTAGTGTGCGATGTATTTTAACTGTACTTGACCACAAAACTTTTCTTTTGTTAAAGAATCTCTTGGAATTCATATTCTCTAAAATTCATTTTGTTAGATACTGGTGTAATAAAAAGAACGCAGGTTTGGGAGGCATTTGGGTCTCAATTTTACTTTTATCTCCATCACACACCAGAAATATGGCCTCAGACATACTACTTGCTCTCTCTAACCCTCACTTTCATTTCATTTGTAAAAGGGGAATAATAAGATTCAGCTTTTACAAGTTATTATTAAAGCATAAGACTCGGAGAGAAAGAAAACTTTCAGGGATTGTATCAAAGGCAGTTTTGCTGTTCCTCAGTTTGCTCATCCTCTCTCCAGAGACTATACTTTCCAGGCTCCCTTGTCTCTCGTTCTGGTGCATGGAAAGTTGGTGTCTAGTGATGACTCCACTTCCAAACCAGGACCATGAAACCCTCCTATAAGCAACACAATCTTCTCTCCTCCACCCCCAAGACCCAATGATTGGATGTAGTGGGTTCTGTCAGGGCAGAACCCTAAGGAGGAAGGAATATATCAGTCCTTTGACTCACTTCTTGAAAGGAAACCTCCCAGCCAAGAGTGCCCACTCAGGCAATGTATTGGCAAGAAATAAACATGCATTGTTTTGCACCACTGATATTTTGAGAGGCTTTGTGATATTCCTCTGGTATGGATGGAAATCCCTGGGTACAATGCTGGGTAAATAGGTGTAATAGGTGGTAGATGCTGTGGTTGCTATTGAGATTACCATTGTTGTTGTTGTTGTTGTTGTTGTTGCAGAAATACACTCAGAAAGAAACAGATTCTTGCGATTCTGCCAAAATGTCATGGAAGTTGAATTCCCAAATACATTTGTATCTCTCAATGGGTTTAACAACTCTGTGTTGTATGACTGGGAAGTACTGATTAGTCAGCTTGGGCTGCCATAACAAAGCATCACAGCTTGCCCGGCTTAAAAAACAGAGGCTTATTTTCTTACAGCGCTGGAGGTTGGAAGTTCAAGATCAAGATGTCAATGGTCTTGGTGTTATAGATGACCATCTTCTCCCCATGTCTTCATGTGTGAATTTTAGGGAAACACAGTTCAGTCCAAAACAATCACCAGCCTTCGACACTGTCTTCAAAGAGTTAAAGAAAACTTGTCAGATAACAGCCTCGTTTTCTTAGTCTGTTTTCTGTTGCTGATGACGGAATACCTAAAACTGAATACTTTATAAAGAATAGGAATGTATTTATTGAGTTATGGAGACTAAAAAAGGTCAAGGTCCAGGGGCCACATCTGGTGAGAGGTTTCTTGTCAATAGGGATCTTCTGCAGAGTCCTGAGGTGGTGCAGGGCATATCATGGAGAGGGAGCCGAGCGTGCTAACATGCTAGCTCAGGTTTCTCTTCCTCTTCCTAGAAAGCCACCAGGCCCACGCCCATAATTACTCATGACCCAATCACCTCTTAAACACTCCAGCTCTCGATACTGCCACATTGCAGATTAAGTTTCAGCATGAGCTTTGGAAGGCACAAATATTCAAACCATAGCACTTACACTCTTATGAGTGTTGATCACACATCAGCCAGCATCTCTACTTAAACTTATTCTACAAATGTCAATTTTACTCTCTCTATGCAGAAACACTGCTTTGTTGTGGGATAAGGGAAAAAATAGCTGTAGCAAATATAATTGGTTTCCCCCTTAGTTATTCAACTAAAATTCATGTGATGTATTCATTTAAACGTGAAAGGAAGTGAACTTCAGACAAAATGCCTACTGAGCAGAAGATAAAGCAAACCCCCCATTATAATTCAGTTAACCTTTAATTATTGTGTTCCATCCCATGTGGATACATGGCAGGCACTTATTCAGAGGAAAAACAGTATCTCTGGCATTCAGGTAGATTTTTAGAAGCCTATCTGGAAAGCAGTTTTTTAAATATATTTTTCAGTTTCCAAAATTATTGGAAAGCTGGAAAACAGGCTGGAAAGAATAATGGAAGTGTGTATTGCCTTGAGAAATGGTTACATTCTAGAAAAAATAACTCATCAAGTAGATGAGTTAAGATCAGTAGAATTTATTTTAAAGGCACCAGGAGGATTCCTCATTGAACACGAAGCTACTGTATGTATTGTTATAGAGTACACACTCATCCTGTGGTTTTACTCCCCCAGTCTCCTGATGCTGTTTCAGCAGGGATATCTTCATTTATCTAGCAACTGCAAGGAACAGCCCTCACCAGTAAGTAAAACCTTGAACTCGCTGCTGCCTGATCACTCCCAAAGTCTCATTCGGAAAAAAGACAGATTTAAGAAGGATTGCCTGAGGGCCTTGTAGTCTTTTTGTTCCTCTCATCTCGGTGCTCTCAAAGTCTTTCTTGGATTAAGCCAGGCAAACAGAACCCTTCTCACCTGGACCATATTCTTTTGCTCCCATCCTGTAAAGTACAAAAGAAGCTATGGCCTCACATCGAAGCTTCAAAGAGAAACTGGGTGGGCTTGGAACATGCCCTGGGGTGAAGATTTCGGTGTGGGCCAGCAACAATGCAATGTTACATGTATTTACTGAGAGCATATTATCTGCTCTGCAAACTTTTGGCTTCATAGCATCCAGGATTTCCATGGACAGATTATTAACTTTACAAAAGCAAGTTTTATGTGTCTCATTCACTGGGCTTTCTCCAATGCCTATCACAAGGCTTCAATAAATATCTTATTCACTCTCCACAACAACCCTGAGAGGTCATTGTCTTTATCTCAGGGAAGAGGAAAATAAGGCCCAGAGAGGTTGAGACTTACCTGGGTTCCACCTCTAGTGAGAGGCAGACAGGAGACCAAGCCCAAGTCCGGCACCACCCTGAGATTCAAGCAAGGGCAGGGCCCCTGCCCCAGACCTGGCTCTGCAGGGACCCCACACTTTGTAGTGTCATTTTCCTTGAATATTTCTACATCCTCCTACAGTTCCTGGGGCTGGCTGAGACAGGCAGTGCCTTCTAGCAGTTATCCCTTACCTGTGCGTGTCCTTCATAAGCCCTGGTCTCATCTCTCCTCTTTGGGATGCTCCTAATGGTACCAAGTAATCAATGAGCTCACTGTCCAGTGTGCACAGAAGCCAACTCTGTCTCTACTAAACAACAAAAATTAACTGAGCGTGGTGGTGGGTGCCTGTAATCTCAGCTACTCTGGAGGCTGAGACAGGAGAATTGCTTGAACCCAGGAGGCAGAGGTTCCAGTGAGCCAAGATCATGCCATTGTACTCCACCCTGGGTGACAGAGAGAGACTCTGTCTCAAACATTAAAAATTAAAAATTAAAAATTAAATAAAGTAAGGATCAGTTTGCATCTGAAATAAGAGAACTGGATGGGACAGAAACTAAGTTCATTGCATCTGGAGGATTTATACATATCTCCTTCTCCTTTGTGTGTAGAATTCTTCACAAGGTCAACTATTTATAATGGAATGTTTACAAAAGTAAACAGTTCATCAAAATTGGTTTAATTACTGTATTAGTCCGTTTTCACACTGCCATAAAGAAACACCAGAGACTGGGTAATTTATAAACGAAAGAGAATTAATGGATTCACAGTTCCACATGGCATGTGAGGCCTCAGGAAACTTACAATCAATCATGGCAGAAGGAGAAGGGGAAGCAAGGACCTTCTTCACATGGTGGCAGGAGAGAGAAGTGCAAGCAGGAGAAATGCCAGATGTTTATAAAATCATCATGGCTCACGCCTGTAATCCCAGCACTTTGGGAGGCCGAGACGGGCAGATCACGAGGTCAGGAGATCGAGACCATCCTAGCTAACACGGTGAAACCTCGTCTCTACTAAAAAAATACAAAAAACAAACCAGGCGAGGTGGCGGCGCCTGTAGTCCCAGCTACTCGGGAGGCTGAGGCAGGAGAATGGCGGGAACCCGGGAGGCGGAGCTTGCAGTGAGTCGAGATCCGGCCACTGCACTCCAGCCTGGGCGACAGAGCGAGACTCCATCTCAAAACAAAAAACAAAAAAGCAAACATCAGATCTCATGAGAACTCACTCACTATTACGAGGACAGCATGGGGGAAACCACCTCCATGATCTAACCACCTCCTGCCAGGTCTCTCCCTAGACACGTGGGGATTATGCGGATTACAATTCAAGATGAGATTTGGGTGGGGACCCAGC